TCCCACGCGTGTGTTCATTAAATCATCGTTTGACTTGACCCGGCCGGACCAGTGTGGTTATTTTTGGTTTTCCTCTTGTATCCATCCCCAATATTTGAATCCGTAACAACTGCTATTGTGTACCAGCTATCAAAGTGCAAAAAATTATATATTTTTATTGCATAAGTGTAAATTTAAAAAAGTATTATTTTTTTTCAGTATTTTTCTTTCTCTTTTTTTTTTTTGCATTATTTGGGAAGCTGCACATTAGTTATCTGATGTACTTTGTATAATGAGCTAATGTCTCACTGGACTTTTCAATTATATTATTATTGTCAGAACACTTACATGGTGTTTGAATTAACATCTGTTGAAGTCATTAACATAGTTAATGTTGAACAGTTAATGGTGACTGATATTCTGTTTCAATTCTGTTGCCACTCGCATTTTTTCCAGCCTGTCTTAGTTTCTGTGTAGTGTATCTCACTTGTTGAAGAAGTCTTTTAAATGTCTTAGCATTTATTTTTATTTGTTGTTAATGGCTTTTCATGGTAAATATTTAAATTAAAGGAATCAAAGGGACAGAACAGCAGATTTACTGGGTTTTTTTTTTATTCAATCATATGTTAAACAAATTTTTGTTTTATTTACATTTGAAAAATTAAAACATTTCATGGAACAGTTAAAACAAGCAAACATATGAGAGCTTCTTTCTAAAAACTGCAGTGTTTCAGAGATATTTACCTATAAAGAAATTGAAAACAGTCTTCATCTTCTGGTGTTTGGTGATAACATGGATCACTAAAGAGTTCCCAACTAGACCGACCAGCATGATGAAGCCAAAGAAAGTGGGGACCAGCCAGGCATTAACCAGCACCGGTGGCCTTTGGCCTGTCAGAGTTGCAGACTTGTTGCATACAGACACACACTCTGGACCGTGATCAGAGTCTGATTCCACCATCATCTTCACGCATCAAAGCCAATGATATTTCTGCAATAAATATAGAACATATCAGTGTATAATTCTCAATATAAAAGCAGAGTGCAAAAAACGCAAAAGAACAAAGACAACAGAGATTTTAAATCAAATAACCAAGACGTGAATGAAAACTATCAGCTTCAATTTAGGTGGTTTAACAAAAGTATTAGATGACATGTTTTGACATTTGAGATACTTTTATACATTTGTATTCATTTTTAGAAAACTGAAAATAATTGGACAGAACTGTATGGCATCAAGTAAAGATAAACTAATATATAAGCAAATTTAGTGATTTTTTTTTAATAATAAGCTTCTCTTACCTGTGATGAGCTTATTTGCTTCGGCAGTGCTCCTCTCTTTGCGTTCTAAACCAAGGAAATGATGGGCGATTTGTTTTGCTTTGCGTCATTTATGTGTGTGTGTGTGTGTGTGTGTAAGAGTGAGAGAGACTCAATATCATTACCTGTAATTAACCAGGACTGGGTGACCTTGTAAAAGCTAAAATTGTTTCTATTTCTTCATCAGGTTAATGTTAATAAGCTGTTGCCTCTGTGCCAAGTGAAAAGAGTCACTATGCTCAAAATTTGTCTGTCTTATGAACAAGTCTGTTGAGTCCAGATAAGTGGAAGAGAATGGATCTATCATTATCAAACTTTCTGAAAGTCTTTCAAAAAATTTAGATATTGCCACACATTTTCAGTCAAGCTGATAAATCTGACCATTTTCAGTTTTCTTTTTATTACTAATGTTTTCAAACCACTAAACACTGACCTATGAATCATTCAAATATATAAAAAAGGGATGGAAAAAGTAATTTGCTTCTACATACAATAGATAAGTACAGTTTTAAATTGTATCTTTAGGTTCTTTGTTATTAGCAGCCTACTGTAAAAGTACATAACTTGTTTCCAATTCATTAGTTAAATCTGCAAAAACATAAACGATAATACAGATTGATCGTCAGTGTAATATTACTTATTCACCAAAAAGTTGATTCCTGAAGAACTATTAGCTAAAAATGTGGCATATCTTGGTGTGGTGTGTACTGTGCTTAAAAATAACGGACAAACGGAGGACAAAAAGAAGCAGGGCTAAAAACAAACAAACAAAAAAAATCCCAGAAACGTCCTCAGGTGACAGGTGACTATTAAGAAGCCACTCTTGAGGAAGGGAAACAGGGAGAAAATGCTGAAGTACGCCACTTTACACAAGATCTGCACAGCTTGCCACCTCCAGTACAATTAACTGTTATTGGAGCTCTCATTAGAACCTTTGAAGCCTTGGCTGAAATGTGAAATGATATTGTGAAACTTTGCCAGTTTCACAATATCATACACAGAAAAAGATGCATTTGAGTATATAATCCATGTCTGTTTTTGTTGTTTGACATATTAACCTGGTCACTAAACACTTTAAAATTATTTTTGCTTGAAACAATAAGAAACATGTTTGTGCTGAGATGTCTTTATAAACCTGCATATTTTATTTTTTGGGTGAAAAAAATATCTAACTTTATTCCCTGCATATCTAATACTGATTTTATTGGATATTTCATATTATTAGGACTATGCTTTTCAAGTCTCAGAATGCTTTATGGAACATGGTACCATTCTGACACGTAATTATACATTTCTTGCCTCAATGACCACTCTTCCACTGAGTGTTAGTGCTAGTTTCATTTGCAGTTTATTTCTTCTGTCAGTCTTGAACTTTCCTAAGCATTTAAGAAGAACATTCTGACTGGTGATGTGAAGTTTTCCAAGGTGTCTGAGATTTCCTCAGGGCTCCAGATTTCTTTGAGGCACCCAAAAACAGCTTCCTCTGGAGGTCCAGTAAGTCCTTGAAGAACCATTTGTTGGTTGTCCCTGAACCAGGATGAAGCAACAGTCAGTGAAGGATCTATCGCTGATCTAGTAATTATATGTATCAAAATATTTACAATTTTTATTTAAAGAATTTACAATTTTTTGATAAGTCTGGAGTTCCATCATGTGAATCATCTCCCATTCTTAATCTCACTGGGAATTTACAAACATTTTAACATCTCACGTTTATTATTATTTATTATGATTTTCAAAAAATATTTGTTCATAAAAAATCCATGAGAAACTAGTTTTCAGATCTTAGATATTCTTTTGTCAGTTTCAATAAAGTACGCATCTTTGCCTAGGTTTGTGGCTAACCAAATGTATGTCAGCGTATGGAAAGTTATAAAAACTGCTCTCCTGCAGTTTTTCATTAAAAAATGGACTTCTCAAAATCTAGATGTCCACCCAACTACTACTGATATAAAACCCACTTAACTAAGCTGTAACTGCATAATAGCCATGGCTACTATTCAACCTTAGAGCAGTTAGGAGCAGTAAACTTGTTCAGCCTAGTTCACCCTAACCCTAACCTACATGTGACAGTTGCAGCTACAACTGTTTACTGACCAGTTTGGGGAAACTGTTTAGGCAGCAGACACTGTGGTTCACATTGCTCCCGTTTCCTCCAAGCATGCACTCCTAGGATGTACGGATATATCTCTTGCTCTTCAAGCTGTTCTCTGATAAGAATGACTGAGTCAGAGGCAGGGATCTCTGATTTTTCCACCAGGTGTGCAAAGAGGACTGGATCTGGGAATGATAACATGGGTTGCTTTTGTCCCGCCTGAGAAGCAGGGATGCAGGAAAGAACGAGTACCGGAGCACTGAAGCTTTCTCTCAGATGATCTTGCCTCTTATACTGACACGTGGACAGCTGACAGAGTTTTTTAGGGAGGACAGCTCTAAATCTGAAGTTCCCATGGTTGTAAGAAGTTCCTGGCTCGGTGATGGAGAGGCTGATGTTAGCATGAATGCTCTCATTGGGTGATGTTTTCCTCTCAGCTAAACCCTTTAATAACTCTGAAATCTAAGACACACAAAAGGCACTGGTACATGAGGGGTTTCACAAAAAAATGCACAAGGCAATCAAATATTTCAGCCATCATTCATGACCCATAGCTAGAGCCTATGCCAGCTACTGTTCCAATTCATTTGTGATGTAGAACTTTACTGGGAGCTGTTCTTGAGTCTTTCTGACAAAGACCTGTTAGCAGT